CACATTTCTAAAAAAGTATAAAAGACATTATTTTTTACCATATGATATATAAATATGGATGAAAATTCAAAAATTAAAATTAAAAAATAAATAAAATACAAAATTATGTGCATTACTAAAAATTATATTACGAAAAAAAAAAACTTAATTTTCAAAATTTCATTAAAATATTTTGGTTTGTAAAAAAATTATTTTTAATTACTGCATAATCTTATTTTTAAGACGGTAAACAAAACATTTTACTATTACAAAATGTATTTAAATTAATTTTTCTTGTATTTCTTTGAGCTCAAAAACGCCTTATATTATTAATTTTAAGTTTATTTACATTTATATAATCATTTTTCTGAATTGAATTTTAGCTTCGATGCGTTTTTATTATTAATATTACAATACATTTAATTATTATTATACGAATATATACAATTATTCTGAGTCTGTTGAACATTGCTTTTTCTTCCAACAATCTTTGCATATTGTTTAATATACGCGATGTATTTATTACATGTTTTGTTCTTATTTGTTCCGTATCATCGAGTAGTGGAAATTCTAAATAGATTATTTATTTTTAAAACTTAATTGCACAGACGGTGGCAAATTTACATAATTCCAATTCCACATAATATCGATTATAACTTTGCATTTACGATAAAATATTATCTTAAAAAAAATAAAAGTCCAAAAAAAATAAAAGTCCAAAAAAAAATGTTAACATTACAAGTCGCGTGGGGGTCAATATGACCCATTTCAATTTTGATGGATATTTTAAGTCATACATTTTTTTTTTTGGAAGGTATTTATTTATGAAAATCGATTCAATATTACTATAAAAACCATCTTCTAAATTTATATCTATGTACACCTTATATGAAATATAATACATCCGTTTTTATTTATGTGGTGGCATGCTAGCCCCCCACGCGACTGTTTAAGGGTTAAAACTAAATAAGTATGAAATGAATTTGTTATTAAAATAGCAAATGATGCTGCTGACACATTAATTGTTAACGCTGGAATTAATGTGTCTATTTATCATCCTAAGTTATCATGGTTTGTGACGATATTGATTAAGTAGTACTTCTCATCGCTTTAACTCCTAGTGAAAATATTATATATTTTTTTGAAGCAAACTCCGGTAATGAAAAAAAAAAATGTTTATCATTGAATTTATACAAAAAAACCCAGCACAGGGGGATCGCGGCACAGTGGTGACGTGGCACAGTTGGATTAAGTATTATGATATCTGACAGTGATTAAAATCACTATCAAAAATAAACGCTTCGATGCAAATCTTTAGATAGTGTTTAATTTTAAAAAAATTGGTGTTTTATTCCAAAAGCTACTTGATCTGCTGGTTCCTTATTAATATCTCGATTAAGATAAAGTATGTCGAATGAAAAAGGGTTTATTAAAAAATATTATTTCTCATAAAAAAATTGTGTGGATCCATAAACTTTTCAATAAGTTATAGCATTATAAAGTTAAATATAATATAAATAATAAAATCGAGAATTTTCACACAAAAATAGCATTCGGTAGCCGTTTTCACCATGAAGACAAGTCTAGAAGTCAAATTTTTTTTTTCAAATTAAAGTATATTACATTAGCTTTAATTTAAGATATATATAAAAGTGTCAGACCTTCCGGAACATTTTCAAAAGTTATGTTGAAAAAGTAAATTTTTTGTGAAAAAGTTGTCATTTTAAATCCCCCCCTGTGGGCAGGTTAAGTGTCAGATTTACAAAAAAAATATACCAAATGATAAATAAAGACATCGAGCATCTTTATAAAAAAAAAATATATTGATTAGNAAAATAATAATATTGATCCATACATTTTTCCAAAAGTTATATAAAATATAAATTAAATAATATAACATATAAAATCGAAAAATTATTTTACAAAAATCGTAATTTTTTATTAACTTTGATGTCAACTTTCACCACGAAGACAAGTCCAGAGGTCAAATTCTTTTTTTGAAATTAAAGTATATTACATAAGCTTCAATTTAAGATATATATAAAAGTGTCAGACCTTCCGGAACACTTTCAAAAGTTAAGTTGAAAAAGTTCTACTTTATATAGGCATTTTTTATATTTTAAGCCCCCCATATATAGAAAAATGTCTGATTTAAAAAAAAAGTATACCCAATAAAAGATGTATATAAATACTACTTCTCATGAAAAAATTGTATTGATCCATACATTTTTTAAAAAGTTATAGCACTTTAAATTAAAAAATGTAAATTATAAAATCGAGAATTTTCACACAAAAATAGCATTCGGTAGCTGTTTTCACCATGAAGACATGTCCAAAGGTCAAATTTTTTTTTTTCAAATTAAAGTACATCTATATAAAAAAAAATTATATTGATATGTTCATTTTTGAAAAAGTTACGGCAGTTTTTAGTAAAAAAAATTGAAAAAATTTCGAAATTTAGCGATTTTTAAATTTGTAATTTTTTTGGAGGTTTCCCCCATTTACGGGGAACGAGGGAAATTTTTTCAATTTTGAAGGGTAATGTCTTCGACTAGATACGATTTGTGATCTTTTGACGTATCGTTGAAAGAAATCCGTTCGGTGAGAGCTGAGAAAAAGTGGTAATAGACACAAAACAAAAAACATAATAGTAAAACTAATACCTTCTCGGCTTCGCATCGAAGCTAAAATGTATAAATATGATATTGCTATCACAGTCACGGATTGTTTATTATCAATTATGATTATCAATAGATATTCTTTTTGTATTGTCAGTTAGTTTATTCTATAATAGTCCACATCTGGAGATTCGAAGGAGNATTATCAATTATGATTATCAATAGATATTCTTTTTGTATTGTCAGTTAGTTTATTTATAAACTCACAACAATGTACCTTACTATCATTGATAATAACAATGCTGTGTACCTGCTAATATCGATGTCATAAAAAACCAATTAGCTACCTGTATTTGTAATACCTTGTATATTATACATGTATATTAACTCAAACATTTGAAACTTTAAATGTTTATATCTAATAAACATATAAAGTTATATGAAAAATTCAAATGTCATTTACTATTAAATTCGAAATATATGTTCCCATTTAAAAAAACAATGTTGAGGACCTTACAAGGCATAAGGGATGAACTTAAAAAGTATTACATAGTTAATAATTCAAGAATAATGTGTAACTAAATGTAACCAAAAAAATATTTAAATTATATATTCTCTGTAAATAATTGAGTGGGTTGTGATAAAAAAATCACTCTGTATATTAATTTTTTAAAAACGCACACTAAAAAATATTTTCAATACAATATAGTTAATTTATCGTAAAAAAATTGAAAATTAATAAATAATTTAAATAATAACGTTGTGGTATCGCTATGCAATGGGGACATGTCATAGTTGGAACAAATATACATGATATCTGACAGTGTTTAAAATCAATCTTCTTGATTATTTTTTATAGAGGTGGTCAAGAACTGCCGATGCACTTTAACTTATAGGTCTATTATTCGCACCTCTTACTGAATTATATGAATTCGCGTTCTTCACATAAGTTCTTCCACCGAAGTTTTGTTGCTATTGTTGATTACCTATATAAAGAACGTTCTACTAAGCCGTACCTTAATGTATTTAAAGATTCCTGTCTCTCTAAAATAATTAATTATCTCTTTGGGTTTTAGGTTTTTGATACCTTGTTTTCAGGAAAAGATTTTGTCAAATGTTTTGCTCTTAATGTGGCCAGGATATCACATTCGCACATTATGTGAAATGAGTCATACTCTTCTACTCCACACTTCCTGCGCAGTTGTGATTCTGTCACTCCTTTTGTGTGGAGATGTTTACACAGATGACCGTGTCCTGTCAATGTACTCATTTAATATCTAGTCATGTTATTAAGATCCAGTAATGCACATTTTTAATTGTCAATGGTACCCAGACAATCAAAACTAGTAATAATAAAAATAGGTAACACCATAATTTCTGTGTTATTTTCCACACTAGTTATTGGTACATCTCTAGAAACTTCCAGAATATCGATGTTCATCCATGCCATTTCTATTTTTAGGTTATCTAGTTTACAGCATTGTAGTAGGGTTCACAAATTCCAAGTTGCTATTCTTCTACTTCGCCTACCTCACTTGACCATTCTTACCTTCTATAATAGTCCACATCTGGAGATTCGAAGGAGGACTATCGCCGGAATCTTTTACTTGAGTGAATATTATGTTCATTTTTGTTACTAAGAAATGTTGATGCGGTGGTTTACTTTTTTACCTTCCACATCGCAGTTTAACCATCAGTTATATGTTGTCATAATTTTGGTTACTTATATAGTCTAAAAAAATAATTTCATCTGAGTTAAAAATATAGTTTTCTAAATCTATTTTTCTCACTGTATTTCAAATCTGCAATTAGAAGTTTTCTAACAACTCTATTTTTGAAATTATTACTAATTAGTAAAAAACTAGCGTATGTTACAAGTACGCGCGAATGAAGTAAAACTCCTTTCGTTAAAGATGTTTTACTTTAACAAATATTTACATTAAAGAAAAATAATTTTAATATAATTTAAAAATTATTATTAACTTTGATTTTTAATATGTTAAAAATCATCAGTGCAAAATGTCATTTTTAACCTAATTTTTGGTACATTAAAGTTGATTTTATGAAAGTTTATAATAAAAATGTTGAACTTATTAACTTTTTTTTTAGCTCCATTTGCAAGTTTGAAATTGACAACAAAACAAATACAATAAAAAATTCTATTTTAATTCTGTTATAATTTTCTAATTTTTTCATTAAGTGTTATGTTTAAGTCTTTAAGAATAATTTTAATATATTAATAATAAACCAATGTATTTAATTTTATATAATTTATATATGTGTATAAACATTTAACAATTTTAAGTTGTTACAGTCATGAGAAAAAATTATTTAACTTAAAATTACTTATTAATACAAATATAAACATACATAATAAAAATGAATAATAATAATGAAATCCTCCTGATAAATAAACTTATAATTATAGTATTAGAATTAGTAATATCATTAGTAATGCTACGAGTTTAATTAGGTATTCATAATGTGTATTTAAAAATAATATTATTTGATAATTTAATATTGTATAAAAAAGGAAATGTAAATTTTAGGAAAAGAAATAAAATTAATATAAATAATATTTCTAAAGGAAAGAACTTCAATTCATTTTTAAATCATTGAAACATCAAAATATTTTATTTACATTTACTTATAAGTATACACACATTTCATTTTCAACCTTATTGTTACATACAATGCAATTTATTTGAGAACTGCACTTATTACAGTACCAACCATGGCCACATGGTATCATAACGTATTTTTTTGGTGGATTTACATCATTTATTTTACTTAGACAGCTTACACAACGGGCCCCTTCTCGATCAAAGATGCATATTGATTTTAAAAGCCGATAATCTAGATGGAAATATTGAAAATTAATTTAATAATTTATAATGACATATTTATTCATTAAGAATACTTATTATCTGAATAAAAAATTTCGGCTTGTACAACAGTAAAAAAAGAAGCTCCTAATATTTTTTTGCATTAATGTTTCAGTAAATTATTAAATAAATTTACTTTTACTCAATAATGACCCGGGTGTCAAAATATTGAAATTCTGAATATCTGTAAAATTTTGACGACATATAGGACATTTTTCCATTAGAATAATACACTTGTCGCAGCACCATCCGTGTCCACATGGAATAAAACTGTAAATTTCATTGACCATGCCACCATATTGCATACACACAATACATGAACTTCCATCTACAGTAACAAAATAATAAATTTGTAGTGCTCATTAATCCGCATTATCAACACATTTTAAATTTTAGTTAACTTTTGGATTTAAATTCAAAAATATTTCAGGAATTTTTTCCAACTTTAGCCAACTAAAAGCAATAGTCACTCTACCCGTGGTTAGATTTTTAACAACACATAATTCTCACTGAAATGTACACTTATTGTAAGAGATGAAATTTTTTAAATCAATACTTAATAAAATAAACCATAGATTCTTTTACCTTAAATGTTATTAATACTTTTTTATAGCAAAATATTTTTATATAAATTGTAAAAATAAATATTTTTTATAAAAAAGCTTTTTATTTTACTTTATATAGTTCAAAAAAATGTTGATAAAAATTTTTCCTTCTTACTTTCACCCTGAATTACAGATTTCAAAACAGAATAAGTAAGTTTGATCAGCTTCGAAATGTATTGAACATTATTTTTGTATATTTGTATTGATTCCTCTTTGGAAAAATTATTTGTTAATTCTATATGAGACTCAGTTTTTACAAAGTATAATTTATCTTTCACCAAATCCATGCAGCTTAATAAATCACTTCTGTATTCTTCGTCTACATTATTAAATTTGTAATCTTTATATTTGTTTCCGTATTTTTTGTAAACAATTAATATACACTCATACGACTCAGAAGAAATCCATTCCCTATTAAATTTCGATACAATCAATGGACTTATTATGTCAAACTCTTTTAAATATTCTATTATTGTAGCACCTCTCTTATTCATTTCTCTTGCAAACTCGCAGAACCGATAAAAGTATGTAATCCCCATACTTTCAATAGCGTTTAAAACGATTGCATAACCAAGAGTATAATTGCCATTCAACAAACATGCATCAACAACATCCGACAAACTCTTATTTGCTACTTCTATCTCTCCATAAGTAATTTCTTCGGAATTATCTTCGTGACTCCAAGGTAGTGGACAAACCACTTCATTCATGCTTAATCTCCTATAAAATAAATGATCCTTAAGCTTTAATCCCATAATATTTTTGTAGTCCATTTTAAGAGTAACTAAGTCTCTCATTGTGATATTATTTAGATCAACAACATAATTCGATATAATTTTATTAATAAAAAAAAAAATAATGTTCGCTGTAACGAATAACATATTATTGTTCTAAGAAAATTTGCAAAAATTCACAAATAAAAAGTACAATATTTTTTCCATTGAAATGAAAGGATTTTAAAATAAAATATTTATAACAAAATACAATAGAATTCTATTGTATTATTCAGTCAGAAGTATTATAAATACCTAATATAAACCAGATTATATGTAGTGTTCAGATATATTTGAACAAATGTCATTTAAAATAATATTTTTTCAATTTTACTCATACTAATTATTTAAAAACGCATTTTAGAAAATATTTTCAATGTAATATCGTACATTTTTCTCTAATAAAAAGTGCTCAGAAACCTTTAATGGAAATAATATACTGGGTGATTTTTTTATCATATCCCACTCAATTACTTGCAGAATTATAATAATTTAAACATTTTTTTTTTTTTTTATCTTTAGTTACACATTATTCTTGAATTTTTAACTATGTAATACTTTTTAAGTTCATCCCTTATGCCTTGGAGGGGGGTCAACTTTGTTTTTTTAAATGGTAACACATATTTTTAATTTAATAAAATGTTTGTGTTTATAATTTAATAGTAAATGGCATTTGAATTTTTAATATAACTTTATTAGCTTATTAGATATAAACATTTAAAGTTTCAAAATTTTGAGTTAATATACATGTATAATACACATGGGATTGTAAATACAGGTAGCTAATTGGATTTTTATGACATTGCTGTCTCAGTCACGGATTGTTTATTATCAATTATGATTATCAATAGATATACTTTCTGTATTGTCAGTTAGTGTATTTATAAACTCATAACACTGTGCCTTACTACAATTGATAATAACAATTCTGTGTACCTACTAATATCGATATTATAAAAAACTAATTAGCTACCTATATTTGTAATCCCTTGTGTATTATACCTATATATTAACCCAAAAATTTGAAATTTTAAATGATTATATCTAGTAAACGAATTAAGTTATATTAAAAATTCAAATGCCATTTACTATAAAATTAAAAACTCAAACATTTTATTAAATCAAAAATATGTGTTACCATTTAAAAAAACAAAGTTGACACCCTTACCAGGCATAAGGGATGAACTTAAAAAGTACTACATAGTTAATAATTCAAGAATAATGTGTAACTAAAGATAATAATAAAAAAAAAATTTTTAATTATTATTATTTTTCTATAAGTAATTGAGTGGGTTATGATAAAAAAATCACTCTGTACATACTACCCATACATTCAGTGTCCCCTTTCCTATTTATTTCTATTGCTCTCCTGTAAAACTGATAACAATACGTATTATATATATTAACAATTATAATAAAATAAATTTCTATCACATATTATAATGGAGTAAATTGAAAATTGTTCAATATTCTTTTTAATAATCGCATCACTAAGAAAATAATTTTCATTTAACCATAATCAATAATCCTTTGTTTATTATCGAAGTAGTAAATTTCTTCATCATGTCATTCATACTCCAAGGTATTTAATAAATAACTTAATTTTAAATACAACTAATTAAATCTGGAACATAAATATAAATAATAGTAATAATATAAAATCAATTCTGTAAGTATAATTTGATGCTGTGCCAAAACAAATATTTATGAAGTTTAAAGTATACTGAAAAAAATATAAGTATAGTAATTTTAATTAAAAAAAAAAATTGACACAATTAAAATTAAAAAAGCACGTTTTTAGTTGATATTTGTTTATTTTTGAGTTATTAGTTCGAAGGTTCCTAAACATTTTTATAAAATTTTACTGATAAATTCAAATTTTAGTTATTTTTAAATATTTTTACTATATCTAATAAATTCATATAATGGTATATACAAGATAAGAAGCAAACCTTAAATACAAATTAAATAATTTAATATAGATTTACAGCATATTCAGTAAAATATAAAGTTCTTTTATTACATATATACATACCTAAATTTCAACATAATAGATAAAACAAAATTACCCACTTGAGATTTATCGTGGCGTTATAGTAACAACAATGGATTTTGATAATATTTTGAATAAGAGTACTTGTCAGAAATAATGAATATGCAATGAATTTATTTGAGTAGTTCTATACCTATTAAAGTTTAATATTAACAGTGTTCAGGATGTTTAGATTTTTTTTTTTCAAATATAAATAAAAATTAATATTAAAATAATAAATGTTACATTAGAACAAAACTGTCATCAGGTAAATATTTGTTAATAAAAATTGAAAATTTATTGGTTTTAATATAACAAGAAATATTAAGAGAACCCTATAATTAAGCAAAAAATATTCTGAATGTAATGTTTATTAGTACCATACATTACTTTACCTTACCTAGTTATAATTTATGACACAATCTATAATGGTTTTTTGCCATAATATGAAAACCGGTAGTAAGTAACCAATACAATGTGCGAGTTCGTTAAGGATCCCTTTTATTTTGTCTACCCATAATTCACAAAAAAATACACATCGTAGGGGATTCTCGATCAAAATTAGAAGCCATTGTCACCCGTCTTCTGGAAAAATGTTATAATATAATAACAACAACAATAATATATAAAATTCGTATATTTATAATAGTTGTAATAATGGCTTATTTTGAAAGACCAAATGGATAAGCATCTCGATCGTGATTTACTGTAAAAATCTGTTTAATAACGTCAGACATAATAACTCTATTATCGACAGTCTTGACCTATCTGCTCGTCAAATCTATAACACTTATGAACAATGGTATAGTTGTACACCATTGTAATAATCTGTTTACAGAAATATTTTTTTTTTGTTGATGCTCTTGACGAATTGATGGTATCGAGTTGATTTAGCTACCTATTTTCCTGGATACGGAAACCCAAAAACAGTCTCCACACTACACAGGATGCACAAGATTGAGGTAGCCGTTGCACCGTAATCCATAACAGGCACTTGTATATTGTTCAGATTTTGAGACACGCCTTTATGTCACTATTGGGATCAAATTACAGAAAATGTGTTGTGACATTCTAAATTTTACAAGTCTAACTCTTTTTTTTTTAATGACTGTCTTTTCGAGATTTACATCGTACATTTAAATACCAACAACGTGATAGTTAAAAGAGCCATACAGATCATAGGAGGGTTTGGGAGAGGAATACTCTACTCTAGTAGAGTATATAGAGTGATTGTTATATACGACAACTATTTAAATTATTGTATTCGTCCAGTTTGTTCATTTTAATCACAATTTAGAAATTTAAGATTTATTTTTGCTTATTTTTGTGATGATCAATTAGTCGACAAATGTGTTTATGACACTCCGAACGCATTTTAGATTTCCATACCTCATCAAATTTTTAAATGTATGCCGGAAAATCTTTTATAATTCTATTAAAACTGATACGCATGTTTCAAATTTATCAGTCCAACAATTTTTCCGGCTCTTAAGTTGTACCTATTCTATTGTTACTTAACTGTTGAATACGAGGCGGTTGTTTGTCCAAAAACATAATATTAGTCGTATACGCAGCACTTACAATAACAATATTATTATATCCATTCAGTGTGTGGGTGAACTAGATCGTTCGATATTTTTCACCATATGCCAAAGCACCTGGTTCGTGAATCTTTTTGTATGTGATAAAAGATACAATCTAATTTTGTATAGAGTTACACGGTAAAAGGCTTAAATTCCCACACCGAAGATAGATGAAATGTGTCCATCACGAGAGTCCGCGGGCGGAAGAATACGTTCGCGGCTCATTACGCCCCCCATTTTTGTCTGCTTGGTGTTATTCTTTCTTTCATTTTTTTCATAGCTACAAAAACAACTTTTTTTCTTTGTTTATTGTTGTTGTTCGACGGCCCTGATAAACCACAATATGCGCATAGATCTTCATTAGGCGCATAATGCAGCGTAATTGCCTTTTACAATGCAGATACTTTTTACACACATTTTTCAATCAGCTGAAATTAAAAAAAAAAGAAAAATTATCCGAAATGTATTTTAACCGTGAGATATTTTAGTTCTTTCACTGCGTAATAGCGATAAAAATGTTCTGCTATATATCACTATGTGAACAGTATTAATAAAGCATAAAGAAGAGTGACATTTCTAAGAAATAAAAAATATGTTATTAATATGCTAAACTAATGTATCGCCAAACTTGGGACAGTTAAACATTTACCAGTATTGTTAAGAAACACAAAATATTGTTGACAAAAATGAAGTGATGAAATCTGTAAAATATTAAGTTGGTTCGTTTGACGGTACGTTTAAATGGAAATTATACTGAATACTTAACATTAGAAACTTCTTTAATACAGCAACTATATAAATAGGAAAATGCAAACATATGTGTTGTATTTGTATCAATATGATTAAAAATAAAAATGACGGTTAATAATTGATTAAACATCTATAGAATGTTTTAATTTTTATGAGCAATTATCCAACGCTATTAAACGTTTAAATTTAAAAACGCTGTATATTTTAAATTTTGTAGTTAAACTTTGAATAAAAATAGAAAATTATAACACTATAGAAATATTACTATACTAATATTCTATTAAATAAACTATATTAATATTGTAATATTACTATAACACACTAGGGAGTTATTCTAATAATATATTAGGAAAACTTCTTTGGATACAGCGACAGTCAAAAAAAATTAAGAGATTATAGACTTCCTGGCTTTTACGCAGACAAGATACTGTCGCTAAGTCTGAAATCGAGTAACCGACTTGTGATTTATTAGTTACGGTAGTATTTACTTAACCAAAAAGTAATAAAATACATCTAACATATGTCGGTAGTTATTCACGCCCAAACGATGGAAGTCACGTGGTTGAAAAACGGTCGCCCACGCCAAAGGTTAATTATCATGTGTGTAGTAGCTTGTACGCCCTAAACTGTTTGATAAATGACTCAATTCCAAATAATGATGTATATGAAACTCGTACAGCATGGGGAATCATGAGACATGTAAAAAGATATATCTCTTGCCGATGGAATTTCAGTCAGGATGATCCTGAGTCTTCCGTTGGTGTTATTAACGAATAAACACAAGCCACAGTTTAACAACACANCCGTCGGTGTTATTAATGAATAAAAACAAGCCACAGTTTAACAACTGATAGTTTATTGGCAAACAATTAAATAATCGATATTAAATATTAAAGCGTTTTTGAACAAATGCCTTCCTTGAAATATTTCACCAAAACCGACGGTTGATTAAGTCATTTTTTTGGTGGAAAAACAAATTCTCCGTTTGAGTTTTGATGGCGGCGACCACTACAGAAACGTTACAGGGAAAAAATTGAGCTGTAGACAGCTGTGCATTTCGAATAAACACGTCGTGATGTGTATGTTTATTTGCGCTTTATTGTGCGGGTTTATACACATAATCCAATGTTATTCTTTCATTAACATCGTTCGAGTTGATGCCGACAATGGAGAAGAACTGAGGCCACCCCACATGATGAAAACGCCACCGCGGTTCGGATTATAATATACACACACACACATCTATGTATTATTTTGATCGAAATGGTTCGTAGATTTGTTGCCTGTTCTCTCCCTCGGTGATATTATGTTATATATATTTTTATTTATTAGCGGTCAGGGGTTCTCGCTCGTCAATGGAAGCGCGCGGCGGGACGAAACAACAAAAGCGGCCTTCGGGGACGTCGTCGAAACAATAATACAAATCATCATTTATGTGTACAGTCGAGCCCCGTTTTCGGATTTCTTACAAAGTATACATTTAGCTGCTCGCCAAGGGCACACAACGGCTATGCGCGACCAGTTGAAACGTGTGTTTTTGTTTTCGCTCGATTTGCGCGCAATATAATTTGCAACAACAGAAAATGGCCGAAATGGCTTTGGCTGCACAGAAACGTCAGATTTACCGTCATGTTTTCCAAACAAAATAAAGAGATCCGTCCTCGCCAACAAAGGGCACACATCATACTTACTTTTTACATCTTGACGTTGTACACGGCTACTGAACACAATGTTATGCAGTTTGGGATTTTTATCATGTAAACATTTTCTAAACAAAAGCGGTTTCGTCTGCGTTTATACGTTTTATTGAGTTATTCCAAACACATTATCAGCTAATGCGAAATTGTATTAATAGACTTGACAACTCAGTGATGTCGTCTAGCTGGGGTTATAGTGTCGGGGGGAGGATTGAGGGAATTGAAGACTCCCTTAAAATGAAAAATATTTCTACGTTTGTCGGATACTCTGGCAATAAATTTACACAAACTTTAAAAATGGCTCAAATAAAATTTATTAAATTATATAAATACGCTCTCTAGGCGCATTTTATGATCGAGTTCGACGAGTTTTTAAAATAACAAAATAAATCTAATAACAAGAATAATATCTTTAGCTATTTACCAAAAACAAATGTATCGATATTCGCAATTTTACAGGAGAAAAAAACAAATAAACAAATTTTCGATCGGATGACGATCGTACTTTGTTAAGTCATTATTGACATATTTAAGACGCTAGTCAGTTTTTTAAATAAACTCAACTTCTAAAACACCTTTGCCTACACGTATAGCTTCTCTCGAGTAATTTATCGAACGGCTATTATAAATTTATTCGATTGTAATTATGAACAACGTAGTGCATTATAAAGTTTCATATTAAACTAGTTGGCATACTATTCGCAGCAAAAAATTATTTTATTCAAATCAAACGAACCTCTATTCTTATGTCTAATTAATTTGTTCGGTTGAATTTTGCAATAATTTTACCTTAACGTCGTTTTACTATTCTCAGGGTTATCGAACATTGTAGTCGTGTAAAAGTAACACATGTCTGTTCATATTCGTGAGAAATTTATACCCACATATAAGAGCCAAATAAGGAAGCCTCGTTTTCTTCCGAAGGGTTTAGATTATCATTATTATTATATAAACCAGAAGCCGATTTATTGCAATCCTATATGTCGATATAACTCAAACCAAATAAATATACGAATTGGCTGTAACAATGGTACTCGCATAAAAATATCGTGCAAACCATTCAATATAATGTAGCGACAGGTTTATGAGCCTAACGGGGGGGTCTCGAAGAGGGTTCCAAAATAATAATAATAATATTAACATTAACAAGTAAATCGAACAAATGGTTAAAAAAAAAATTCGTACCCAAAAACTGTCTGGTAATAAATATTACGCATTTATAACCGTATGAAATTCTATTTAGGTTTAAGAATAACCCCAATCGGGGGCCGGAATCCATTGTCGGGGCAAAAGGGTTACTCGCATATTGTGTTTAACCGGCGCGCGCGTAAGCCAGGCGAGAAATTATAATAATAATAATCAAAAAACTCTAACCCAACTTGCACACGTGTACTTATCACGTTCACCATACACACAAACGATACAATAATATATTATTATTGGCGTACAAAAGTGTTAGCTTTACAATTTCGGGTTCACGCCTACTTCGTTTGATCTGCACTGCGTTTACAGGCTAACGCACTTTTTAAGCCCCCCCAGACGAGAGGGCGGACATGTGGCACGGCTAATTTGACAACATTTTAAACGTTGTTATTATGACGAATGATTAGAGTCCATTAGTAGCCGCGCGTTCCATATACGCCCATGTAATGACAATTCCGTATGCAAATACACTTGGTTTAAATACAATCGTGACTTTCGTTTAATCATTTTATTCGCTTCAACGACACGCTGCTGCTGCCCGTTCCGTGACAATAGAAACTATGCAAACAAGTCATACGCTAGAAAGAATAAATAATTAGTCTTGATGCTACCAGACTTAGTTCTACCGAAATAATATTATCAACAACGCGAAAATGACTTGCTCGGCTTTGCGTATTGTTTAATCCTTTTTTATACAAACATTTCCCGGACTATATGACACAACGGTAATTTTATCACTACGGGACATCGATAATTCATAGGGCAGCAACACCGCACCGGTGGATCGTTCCCGGAAGCAAAGTCGTACAGTTTTTGGGTCACAGTTAATTTATTTGTTATTGTAGAGAGTGGCGAAGAAAACGGGCCTTTTTTTCCTTTTACTCGCCAACTGAATTCTCGATAAGAGGGTTGAATCGTTAAAACGACAGAAGCCGTATGACGTAAACAATACAGTCTTAGATACTTTATGTACCGATAAATAAAAAACTGTAACGTCCCGTATATCCAAACGGGTGACAACGGTGGCAGCAGGTTGCACTCCTCTCTCCTCGGGTTCCCTCTGTAGCTCCTAAGGTGGACAATAAAAAAAAAAAAGGGTCCCGAAGCTCCTGCGAGTGTAACGCATGACAAGCGTCGTACAATATTGTTATCCTTCGGCCATCGTCGACGACACGGGTTAGAGGTCAGTTTCTGGAAGCGACGGCGCTGTGGGAGCTACTAAACTGTGGAGTGGCCTCTGCGTTGCATGTAAAACAGGCAGATAACACCTATAACACAACTAGAGCGGGGAACGCACTACTTGTTGGTGTAAATAAAATATAATGGCGATACCGTAACAGCACATGTTCACTCGCCAAGGGGTTAGGCGTCCTGCCGAGTTTTGGACACCCGAAGGCTTCTTTCAATTTAGATTTTCACGGTAACGCAATAAGTTGTGCGTGTTTTTCGAACCGCCATTGTTTAGGTGGCATCTGGACACCGTGGCGGTAAAAAACGCGAGAAAACCAGTAGAGCACTCGAGCGCATCTCGTAAACATGTTCAATTGGAAACCAATTACAGAAAATCGACACATGGGGGCACATGTATAACTTTCAAGTTGCATTTTGAACTATAAAATTACTATTGTATGCACTTCTTTGTGATGACTTTTTATTTTTTTATGAGACTTTTACTGACGCAGTGTCAAAAAACTTATATTCTTCTACTGATCGTTTCACATTGAACATACATAGAACTCTATTCTATACAGACATCATATTTAACGCGTACCTACCGTGGCATGAGCACGAATTCACGTCCATTTACACACTAACAATTACTCCGTACCTATAAGGTCTATATTTTTAATAATAATATTATTATTATTATTGTTGTTGTCGTAATATGCGTGTCTATCAAATTACTACTGCGCCCAAAGGATAATAGCACTCGACAGCGGAAATTAGTGCGCGCACGGCTCGGCATCGGTGTCCTCCTATGCAGCGATAGTATAACATAAAAAACACACGAACGGTCCATTCAAGTTGTCATAATATCAAATTTCATTGTGCAACGACCAACGCACGTTCTAGTTGTGTATTGTGTACGCCAATGGTCACGTTAAACGTCCACAC